ACTTGATATACCTGGGGATCTTACAATCGGAACTGATCGAGTATAAAGTATGGGTTATCACTATTGTAGTTGTTATGAATTTTTTTCGAAGAATATATGTAAAAACGTATAGTAGAGATAGTCTCAGAGTATAACAGATCACAGCTGAACTCACGGAATTCTGAATTGCAAGTTCTTGTGCCAATTCCATTGCTTTCATTGTCAGCAGGTGTTGTGCTCGCTTCCTTGATCTATAAGCTGTTAAGGTACGATAGGCGAGAGAACCAAAAATCAAAGTAAAACAAAACAGGTAGAACAGAAATCACATAAAATTATGCTCTTTTCAAGGATGTCGGTAAAACTCCCCGAGGCATCCATCTCGTCAGAATGAAATGCATTGCGATGAGTAGTTTGTTAAGGACACGAAGCCTGTGGATGAATCACCACAACAACAAGCTTCTTCTCTATTGTGTCTGTGTTTTTCTTCCACCAGGTAATGATGATATTTCCAGGCAATTGAAACGATCCGAAAACCCAGTAGAACTAAAGAATCTCAACAATTAAATCTGTCAACCAAAAACAAATAATTAAGTTTATACCATGCGATTTGGGATATTATGCCATGACTATCCATTTGGATGAAAGAGTGAAGGGAACAATGGAATGTTCAACTCAGTGTCAACTCAGTGAAAAAGAGAACTCAGGAAACATGTCTGTCTGCAAATCCGTTGAGAAGATTCACGAACCATCGATGACCATCATCCCGAGATCCCCAGCCAGGGGAGACTAACGAGGCCTATGTGACCTAGTCTCCTGGTTAGGGTTTGTATACCTTCATTCCAGGTCTTAGTTTGACCATCCTTGACCTTTTTCCAATCGCTACCTGCCTCGACAAACATCGCGCGGCATAGTAACCTATTTGTTGACATTCGTAACGCATGCCCCAAACAACGTAATCCATGGAGGTCGACCAATTTTTCCAGTGGACGACCGCGACTGCCTAAAACTCTACGCCTAATCTCAGCGTTTCTCGTCCAGTTACCCCACTAGATTCATGTAATGCTACGTAGACAGCGGTGTTCGAACACCGACAATCTATTTTTATCCTGTTCCCGTAGTGGTCAAGTCTCTCCACGGGAGAGCAGAATTGGCTGCAGCATATACTCGACCCTTCACAGACGACCGGATGTCGCGACGGCGCCACAAGTGTCTCACGTTGGTAAATGCCAACTGAGCGTTCTGTATGCGCGCCGACACTGCATCTGTGATGATGCGTCCGTCAGGTGAGATATAGCTTCCCAGATAGCAAAACTTGTCTACTTTCTCCACAACGTCCCCGGT